TTGTTTTTATTAGAAACCAACTGAAAAATATGTAGGTAATAGCCGCTTTCATAGATGGCGTTGTAATTAAAATCGTGTCGAATCAGTTTTACTCGATCGTCCTAAACAACGTCACAACTTCGTTCCTATCGGGTGTCCCACGACACCACACGGCTTTTTTTAACCATATCACAGGCTCTGTCTAGAATCTGTCGTGAAAGCATAACAAACAAACAAACTCACTTTCACATTAAAATATAAGTATTATGCGATAATATAAAAAAAGTATGGGTAAAAGGGAAATTCTAAATGCTATGTTGCACATGTGTGGCCTTTTTAGCCAAGTTCCTATCGCCAACTGAAAGAAGTGTTGGCCAACCGTAACTAGTAAAATAATAATAAAAAATAATAGCATATTCAATAAACAGTGTTTTTGCATAGTACATGGTTTTACAAATATTACTGTGGGTACATGATACATTTAAATTGGGGTATCTGTGCCTCGACTAAATAAGAAATCTGTATCCAGACATCAGCGCTCTTCCCTGATTACATCACCTAACTATACCTATACCATTTAATATAACAAAAGTTTTACAGAAGTTTTAAAAGATAAAAAATAAACGACTAATATCAGATATCACACACTATACAAAATATCACTGCAAATCGAAGCTAAAATAGTATTATTTGTCCTCTCTGTGAGTGGAGTGAAGATGTGAAAGTGTGAGGGTGAGTAGAACGGTTACTGTGGCACATTTAGGAGATTTTTCAGTTTCTTCATACGATAATTTATGTATAAATGCGAATATTTTATTTTGCCACTGTTTTTTATTAAGGTTGTATAAGCTTAAAATGTTATTAATTTTGGCATATAGATAAGGGCCAAGAAAACTAAAAATATTCTTGACATAGACATTTAAATAGACGTCGTACAAGATTGAAATGGTTTGCGTCTTTTAGTTTCTGTACAGCTTATAGGATACAGTAAAAAAATGCTGTTTTATTAAAGTGTACTATAAACAACTGAACGTAAAAGCTGAGTTTTTAGATGTAAGAGCAAGGCAGATGGGTTAATAATAACTAGAAATCATATAGGAACAAGACAATAGAACTGATGTTTAACATTAAAACCGCCAATTTCACCATTATTAAGCTACGTTATCAGCGAGTAATTTAGGGTAATTTTTAACGCAATAACCGACATAGACGCGGGAAAAATATAGTACTTCATAAAATTTGGCTTGATACGGATGACACATGACAAAACAATTATTAGTGATGTGTCATAATTGGCTAAATCGATCAATGTATGGACTGTAAGCGATCTATGATATATGGTAAAACAATCATAATAACAATAATATAAACCCAGTACAGTTCTAGAAAATAATACATTTAAAATATATTGGGATAGGACAATAATTACCGATAAAACCCTACATTATAATAGACCGGATATAACAATACTGGACAAAACTAACAAAATAGTTTTTATTATAGACATAGCAGTATGTAACACACACAATCTCCTCACGACGCACACAGAAAAGATGACAAAATACACAGACTTAGCAACGGAAATAAAAAGGCAATGGCAGGTAGATAGAGTTAAAATAGTACCCATTGTCATATCTACAACTGGTGTAGTACCGAAGACTCTTCAAGATAGCCTCAACACATTGGAAATGCCGAAATCCTCTCTCATACTCTTACAAAAAGCAGTCCTTCTTAACACATGCCGTCTCACACGCAAATTCCTCGCTTCATCCTCATCATCTTAACTTCATATCATCATCCCTTTTTGGCACACTTGGCTAAGGCCCGTGTGTTAGATTTTGTTACCCCTTTAAAATAAAAGGGAGACCAGACAAGGTATAAAATGACACAATAATATAATAATAAGCTAACACATCTCATACACGGTCGTCTGATCCCAAACTAGGCAGAGCCTGTGCTATAACCAGACTGATAAACATACTAAATATTTCTAAATACATACGTAAATTACACCCACAGAACAAACGATCGTGCACATCACACAAATATTTGTCTTGGGTGTGATCGAACCCACGATCTCCCGTTAGGCAGTCAAGGTCACTAACCACTAGACCAGCAGGCCCGTCAATAAGAAATAAGTAGGTATTTAAAATCGTATTTTAAAAAGTAGCACAACCCAATCATTTTCTTCAGTCGTCGTCACTTCAAACAATGCAAGGTACGTTGTTCAGAAGAGTAGGGAACTGTTTTACTCTTTGAAATTTCACAAAATTCATTACTTCAAGGGAGCTGGTAGTTCTTGTGGATTAAAAAGCTAATAAGCAATTTGGCAAAAAACCCTGATGAAGCACCAGCATGCGCAATGATGAGTCTTTGTCCTCTTTCCTTCATGCACTTTAGTGGTTGACTCAGCCTTGTCATCTGACTTGGAGCCCGTGTGGTTGGCCGTTGAATCCAAAACAACTGTATCCTAAATGCAGTTTTTTATTTATTTATGCAATAAATCATGTCAAACCAAAGCTAATATTATATCAGTGCATTCCATTATAACTTTTCTTTTGACACTTTTAAAAAGTCAAATTCAACCTTTTGCTTAAACTTTTACTAACGATACTGTACTCCCCGTTAATATATCTGTATCTTTGAAGGACATCACTAACTTATTTAAAGTTGGAAACTCTTTTCGAGCATCATCATCATCATCATCAGCCTATCACAGTCCACTGCTGGACATAGGACTCTCTCATTGCACGCTACTTATATCGATTTTGGGCTTCTCGCATCCAGCTCCTGCCAGCTACCTGGCCTGTGGGCGTCCTTCACTACGTTTGCCAAGCATAGTACCCATAAATGTGATTTTGTTATGGAAAATGGTGAAGATTGTTTTTGGTTTTTTATTTAGCGTGGTCAATTTTATTTCGTCCGTTGAATGGACTAATGTGACCTACTAAAGCTTGTGACATATTTAGCGCATGAGCTGCCGGGAAAGGTAACTAATACGCTTTGCATAGCTGGCATATGGCTTTATGAAAACACACGCCACTCAATTGCAACAGCAGTCCATCACTTTGGATCTCGCGTTCAAAATATTGACAACAAACTCTCAATATTCGACCTAATTTTGTATGTCAAATTTATGTCTACATGATTGTATTTATGCATATTTATGGTTTTGGTGTATAAATTTAGATTATTAAACTTATCATACTGTTAGCCAGCGTTATTACAGCTTCTTGAAAGTAGAATCCAAGCCAACGGCTAAGAAAATCAAAAGACATAATTAGGCACATTCTACGATTTTTATAATGGACTATACAAATCGTAGAATGTATGTGTAGGGCATAAGATTGGTCGAGACGTAGCCACCTTTAGCTATTAGCTAGCTATTGCTCTATGACCTATCTCTAGGAGCATTGGGATAGTTTTTGTTTTTTTTTTTGTTAATTGGTAATAGACCAACAGAATGTATAGTTTTCATTTATATGGTCTCAGTGTGGAACAATTTATTTATTTTTTATTTATTTATTAATACATTTAAAATAACACAATTTACAAAAAATTTGAATTGACAGCGGTTTCCGCACTAAGCTCGTAGCTTGTATCGCGCAACCAAGTGATTACACATTGCTGATTGTCATTTTGTAGCGGACAGCGGTCCTAAGAGTAGTTACATGGGTTTTATAGCTTAATTGGTTAAATAGAAATTCAAAAATAAACTTACAACAGGTTTTTAACATTACAATAATGTAAACACTTAGAATTAAATTAAGACCAATATAAGAGTGTGGCCAAACTATATGTGATGAGTTGGTGACTGTGTTCATGCGTGTGTGTGTGTGTTTGTGCGTGTGTTCGTGTGTGTGTGTTTGTGCGGATGTTTGTTTTGGTGTGTACGTGTAAATGTGTGTGTTTGTGGTATGCTTTGCCTCTTTGTAATTAATTACTAATTAATTATACTATTATTATGACAGGAATCATCAAGGTGCTTTCTCCCATGGCATCATCAGATTCGCCGACTTCCGGACACGCGTCTTCAATACCATTTGCCCGCAACCTGTGGTCTCTTCTGAAGACCACTAGTAAATTCTTCAACTGCTGGAGTATCTCAAGACCTACCGATCGACGGCGGCGGTCAGAGCGAGACGAAGACATCGGGAATCGCGCACTAACATCAATACTCACACGTTACGTGCCGCAATATTCGTTAAAATGCTTAGACACGCTTTGTACTCCTTAATAAATCATCATTATATACAATCGGTTATTTTTTCTGTTTTATTTAGCTATCGCATTTACAATTTCATCCTCATCATCCATAACTTTTACTAGTCCACTGCTGGACATAGGCCCCTCCTTAGAAAGAAGGGTTTGGCCAACTATACCACGCTGGCCAGACGAATTGGTATAGGGTTTGTTTCAAGTTTTCCTTCTCTTTGCAGTACTGTTGTACTGCGTAGTTTGCTCCCTTAGCCGGTTCTTACGACACTCACGTGATGAATAGGGGTGGTGACATTCTGTCTCTCTCTGGTGTGTGTTTACAATTTGCTGCCTCTCTACTATGCGGCTGCCCCATATTAAAGCCCACCAAGGAAAATCCATCAATATGTGGGCCCTACTACAATTCCCCTCCCCTCTGGATATCTGAGGCGATCAGACGTGTTAAAAGTGCTTCTCTGTTGAATTTTTAAATAAAATACGATAAATCTTTAATAGACGTCAATACAAAATCTACCATAAATAAGTGTTGAAGTGATCTATTTTTGCAAAGCTCCATTGCTGCTTTGACGCGTGAGTACACATTGAATGCATAGCCCCATCCCTCACAACGCATGTACTACAAAAAGAGATAGACATACTGAGAGGACACAGATCAAGCTACGATTGACGGAAAGCATATTTATATGAAACTGTCGCGACCGTCCAGCTTATGTTGAGCTCCTTTCACCTGATCGGTGTAACTACGATTCATAAGTTTATTATATTGCAAATTGTCAGTGAATACCTACATACATACGTGTAATATGCCAGTCGATCGCACACCGCCAAAACAACAAATTACATTGCCTACGCGCACGGTCCAGCGCCAGCGTAGCGACTCGGAACCAAACTTAAACTTAAATGACATGCAGTGTGAATTGGAAAACCTAAACGTAACCGTCCGCGCAAAACGTAAGCGCTCGGAGGACAGTGGCGATGTAAACTTGTCCGTATTTATGTCTGAGATGACGAAAATGTTCCATGATTTTAAAAATGAACAGGAACTAAAAGTTGCTGCGATATTGGCTTCTGTTACTGATATCAAAAAGCAAAACAGCGATATTTGTGCTTCTGTTGAGTATGTATCGAAGTCATACGACGCTTTGCTGGAGCAGATAAATCATTTAAAATCAGAACGACAAGAAAACCTCAACTATATCCGTACCCTTGAGAATAGATTAGAAAAAGCAGAACGCAATGCTCGATCTAGTTGTGTGGAGATCCGAAACATTCCCCCAAATAAAAAGGAATCTAAAGAGCAGCTACTACATACCATAATTGCGACCGGTAGAACCTTAAACATCCCCATTGAATCATATGAAGTCAGAGACATCTTCCGTATACAGACCAAAGAACCTGACCAAAAACCCATCATCGTAGATTTCACTAGCGTCATAAAGAAAGAAAGGTTTATTCATATGTATAAACAATTTACTAAAAACACAAGATTAACTACGGAACACCTTAAAATAAGTGGAACATGTAAACCTATATTTATTTCAGAAAATCTAACCCCGGTAATGAAACGATTGTTCTTTTTATGTCGAGATTTTGCTAAGGTGCATGAATATAAGTACTGTTGGGTTTCACATGGTAAAATATACTTGAGGAAGACGGAAGGTGCCCCATCCTTTTTAATAAAAACGGAAACTGATTTATCTAATTTGAAGGTTCCTAAATGACTGGACTGGGTGGTATTACTGATCTATTGCAATGTCACATTTTGTATATTATCTATTACTGTCTACGAATCTTACCATATTGTTAGCCATTATGTACTAGCTCATATTGTACGTGAACGGCTTAGTCGGAAAACCCTGCGGGTCTGTTCTATATTGTTTTATATATTGTTAGTTATAGGATCATATAATTTGTCTACACTACATGACACACTCCTACATAAACATTACTACATTACTCACGAAACAACTACTACACACAACACATTCAACTACTTTCACACATTGCGGGCAGCTGTTTTTTATAATAATATGTATAGAAAACTGTTTCTGATACTGGGTTTACTAGTACTCTTGTATCACGATACGTTTGGTGAAGTGATAAAGACCCATTCACTATTATGCCGTGCTAATATTGTGGGTTCGGTTCCCATTCGGGACATAAATGTGTCTGATCTACAAATTATTATTTTTTCCAATTCATATTTAAAGCAAATGAGGTGTCTACGTCTACGCTCCCTTATTATTGTTTACAGCTGTGGCTTGCTTGTGGAGCTTGCCGCCACACAAATAAGGTATGTTATGTCACTGTTCATATCACGCTTTGAATGGAAAATAGTTATTTATTAAATGAACTTGAACAAATAGAAGTTTCAAAATCCCTTATTTGCTCACCTGAGCAGAGTATTTTATACATAAATGACGCAAATACTTCAATTAAAATAATCCATCTCAATATTCGAAGCATTAGTTGCAACTTCGACCAATTATTAACCCTACTACAAAGGATACCAACTAAATTTGATATAATCGTTTTGTCAGAGTGCTGGTTGGGCAAATGCCCTAATCTACCTAGCTTAGGCGGCTATATTTCCCATGCGTCGCATCACCAAAATCAAAATGACGGAGTTGTTGTTTACGTTAGAGACGACTTCAAATGTACCGTGGAGTCACCGATTTTTTCTGAGGCAAACTGTTTGATAATTAAATACAATAATATATTTGCTCTGGTTGCGCTTTACCGTTCGCCTTCATACAGATATACTGATAGATTTCTGGAGTTTTTGAATAACACTTTAAATTATATAAACAATTACCAAAATGTTGCGGTTATCGGGGATATAAATATTAACATTGCGCCCGACAACTTTGATCATAACTGTGACCAATATTTAAATACTATTATGTCCCACGGCCTAATGGCCGCTCATACCCTGCCAACTCGTAAAAATAGTTGTCTTGATCATATTTTCTTAAAAACCAAGAATAATGCCACTACTATGGTACTAGATACTTATATTACTGACCACGCGCCTATTATCTTAAACTGTAATCTTAAAATAAATAGTTACAGAAAGGAGCGTCTAGCTAAACGCGTAAATCATTCGGCTTGCGTGACAGAGATCAATGGGATGGACTTCGGTCAAATTCTATCCTGTGATGATGGAAATAGTGCCGCTGAACTACTTGTGGACTCAATCTCTGCAGTAATTAAAAAAAACACCCATCCCCTTGTGATCACCAATAAAAATAAAATATTAAAGCCATGGATTACCCCGGGTCTCTTACGTTGTATACGAAACCGTGACAAACTCTATATTAATCTAAAAAAAGACCCAGAAAACTTAATTTCAAAAACGACTTTTAATAGATACAAGTTTTTTTGTAATCGTTTGTTAAAAGCCGTAAAGAAACAGTATGAACAGAATGAATTTGGTAGCCTCAATAAGAACCCGAAAGACACTTGGAAATTTGTAAAAAAGTTGGGCAATATTAACAAATCTAGATCTTCATCCAATGACCTTTTAGTGCCTTCAGTAGATCCTACTTTCACTGCAAATTCGGTAAATAAGTATTTTGTAAATATTGGAAAAACCCTTGCATCAAAAATTATCTCTAGGAATACCGCGTATGACAATACCCCTAAGATAAACGACAACGGTCTGTTTTCTCTTCGATCCTCAATGGCCCTTTACCAGACCGACGAGTCAGAAATCGATCACCTTATTTTAAGTCTCAAAAACACGTCAGCTACTGGTTGGGATGGTATCTCTACCGCAATTATAAAAGACACCAGGTTTGCACTTACCCCAACAATTGTACATGTGTTCAATCTCTGCCTTGCATCTGGTGTTTTCCCGGATGTGTTTAAGATAGGTCTTGTACATCCCGTGCATAAAAGCGGTGACAGAGGCAGTGTTAATAACTATAGGCCCATTTCAGTCCTTACCACCCTATCAAAGATTATGGAGAAGTTATTAAACAACAGGTTAAAAAGTTATCTAAACGAAAATAATATTTTGGCTGAAAATCAGTTTGGTTTCCGTAGTGGTAAGTCAACTGAAGATGCTGTATTGGAGTTAACTAACTCAGTTGTTAGACACTTTAACTCAAAGTCCAAATCACTAGCTATATTCTTAGACCTCTCCAAAGCCTTTGACACTGTCTCTGTGCCGATTATGCTCGGGAAGCTGGAGAGAATTGGTGTTCGGGGGGTGGTACATGACATTTTCCGTAGTTAAATTGAGAACAGACATCAGTGTGTCAATATAGATGGTTTCGTGAGTGAGCTGGAACCAGTGGTGTTCGGTGTGCCTCAGGGTAGCATCCTTGGCCCAACCCTGTTTTTAATATATCTGAACGATTTGTGTAAACTTGTGCTAACAAACTGCAAGATTATTACTTACGCTGACGACACTGTTCTCCTGGTACACGGTGATACCTGGTCAGAAACAACTCGGTACGCTCAAGCAGCTATGTGTACTATTACCACCTGGCTATCCAAAAATCTCTTAACCTTAAATGTGGAGAAGACCAACTTCGTTACTTTCGCGCCAAAGTGTACCTCATTGCCTACTTCTGTAATTTTGATGGCTCATAGTGAGTTATGTGCCCGAAATTCAAGTTGTTCTTGCCTGCAGATTACTAATGTAACCAAAGTAAGGTACCTCGGAGTATGGATCGACAGCCACCTTTCCTGGAAAGAGCACTTAAAAATTACTACCATCAGAATTAGAAAGCTGATGTTTGTCTTTAAAAATCTAAGAACAACCCTTGACCTCCATACATTAAAAATGGTATATTACGCTCTTGCTCAGTCTGTTCTATCGTATTGTATAAGTGCCTGGGGTGGTACGGGTAAAAATAAGCTCCTTGCTCTGGAAAGAGCTCAGAGAGGAGTACTAAAGGTTATGACATTTAAACCTATTCGCTATTCTACCGTCGAGTTATATAGTGAATTGAATATACTTACGGTAAGAAAATTGTACTTATTAAATATGATCTTACGCAAACACAGGGAATTACAATATAAGTTGAATCCTAATAAAAGAAGGAATGACAAAGTATGTGATGTGGAATTCTGTAGACTGGAGCTGTCGAAAAGGCACTATTATTATTTGGCTCCCGTATTATATAACAAGGTGAATAAGGTGTTGCGTATCTACCCTTGTATATTTCGTGAATGTAAACATAAAGTAACGCAGTGGTTGCTTGCCCTAAATTATGATGATACCGAACGTCTCCTGACACGACCTCAATGAGAAATTCGATCAATCTTAAATTGATGAGTTTTGGAAACACCGGCCTAAAGACACACACATGTACACATACATATGCTCTTTCAAACACCACACACATGCACAGACGAACACACACACACACATATGCACACACATAACACTCACATATGCACACACACACATACACACACACACACGCGCGCGCACAAACACACACACACACTAACAATTCTACGTATTCTGACCCACACTTCTTATAACATTATTAAATTAATTTATAACTTTGATTTGGTTTATATTCAGCAAGCATGATGAAACTTGAAACCTGTAACTTATCTTCCGGAGGTGGGCGTTAATGGCTGCAACACAGTTATGAACTATAGCAGTCATTATCAACCATATTCTACTGTGCAATTTGTTACTTTTAGTTACAAAGAATAAACTTTTTATGTTATGTTTATGTTAATTTAGAATTTAGGGTTATACCCAAAAACTTGGTGGTGTCCACAAGATCCAACTCCTTTCCATTTATTAGTACATTGGTAAAAAATCTAATACATTTAATTTTTTTCTCGTTTTTAAGTAAATTATTAACATTGAACCAGTTCACGACCTTAGAGAGAGTGATATTTACGTCATCAGTGACTGATTGCTGTCGTTAACTGAAAACTGTCGTTGACTGTTGCTGAAGGCGTGACTATTTGTGGGTTGAGGGGATATTAATACTTAACTATGAGAAAAATTATAACACTCTTTTTCTTCGTAGTCGGTGACAATAGGACAAAAAGATAAGCCGTACGCATAAGTACAGATAAAATAATAATAAATAAGAGAACAAATTTGCCACAAACGTTTTGTTCTCACACTAGCAATACCCATCGCCTATAAGTCCAGGTAATAATCTATGTGTATACCACTTTTCTCTCTTCCTCTCCGGGTTCTTACAAACTGTCTCCGTGATCGACACCAGTTTGTCAGACTCGGCGTATCTAACATACGCGTTTTGATGTGAGTCAGGTCTCAATACCCCTGTTGTTCTTGCTGATGGTTATCGCCCACATCTGCAACACACCCTGTGCTTAATGTATGCCGACCTCAAAAATTTTGCTCAGACAAGGTCTGATGTAGACTGCTTAGTTTTACGCCAACTAGCACACTAATGATAGCTGCTCGGGTAGATAACCCGACCGTAGCGCCATCTACGACCTCAGCGACAGCTCTGGCGCATGACCAGAGTACGGCACCAGTGTTGACCATCGACCTCTCCTCTTTGAGGGTAGCAATGCCCGCACCTGCGGGGTCCAGCCAGGAAAAGACCGGCTGGAGTCTGGCAAGGACTAAGAAGGTTGATGGGAAGAGTCGAAGGTACGCGAGCGCGGCGTCTGACCACAAGTGGAAGTAAGTCGTTCGACGCTGCTGGAGGGCCCACTAAGGCCCACGATGTCCCCGCCAGTGACGCGCTACCCCGAGGCGAAGACAAAAGTCTAGCCATTGGGGAATGTACTCCTACAGGGGCGCTAACCGCAAAGACGTGGGCAGCTGCCGTAGTACCCTCAAGGCAGGGGAAAGAACTAAACAAGCAGGGAAACCTACGTGTGAAGCGAAACCCACCAAAGAACTCGCCCGGACGATTTCCTCAGTCACCAGGTCAAACCTTTGCTAAACACCAACTCCGTCAGCTACTCAGACGCAATTAAGGCCAATGACCTCGGCGTCGCAGTTATGCTGGAGCCGTATAATGATCTCACCAAGGAGCAGGTAGAGGCCATCGAGGGCCAGTTGCAGGGCGTGTTGGACGAGGAAGAGATCAGAGATCCTGAAAAGGATCAAAGTTGGACTCCTGGTGCCACAAATCGGGCCTGATGACACACTGGTCCGAATACAATGAGGCTGAGGTACCAGAACAGTCAATACAACGTGGCCAACTGCCAACATCATGCACTGTGGGGTAGCAGGAAAACAACAACAAGAGAGGTGAGGAATTAGTTACGTTCCTACTATCAACCAAGCTGAACATTATCAACATAGGCTCGGAGCCGACAATTGGTATACCAACCCGTCTGGCCAGCGTGGTGGTCGGGGTCGGGAGGGTCGGACCAAATGTTTGTATAATCTGCAAATATTTATCTAGGAGTTTGGGTGTTTTCTATGTATAATATGTATGTATTTATAACAAAATGTATATAAATATTCTATCAGTCAATCTAGCTTTCATAGTACAAGTACTCTGCTTAGTTTGAAACTAGATGGCGTTGTGTCCGAAAATATTATTATTATTATTAACTTATCTACTTACATTATATTATAAATATGTATGTATTTAGAAATATATCGGTATACTTATCAGTAGTCTGGTTACCATAGGACAAGCTATTATTCTTTATTAAAAATACAATTTCATTCATTTTATTACTTTGACGGCCGGTTGGCGGAGCGGTTTATGTAACAGGCTGCTTGGCTAAAGATGGCGGTTTCTAATCCCGCTCAAGTCAAACATTTGTGTGCATAAACATATTTAACGGGTGTCTGGTTTTTTCTATCCATACTAATATTATAAATGCTTTAGTCTGTCTGTCTGTCTGTTACCTCTTTACGCTTATACAATACTAGCTGAGACCCGCGGTGTTACCCGCGTTTGTTGTTATAACCGCGGGCAACGCCGCGGGGCGAAGCTAGTCTAAAAAAAGTAGCCTTAGTTACTCCTTATGTCATCAGCTATCTGCCAGTGAAAGTCCCGTCGAAGTCGGTCCAGCCGTTCCAGAGATTACCCGGAACAAACAGACAGACAGACAAAAATTGTAAAAAATGTTATTTTGGCATACGTGCCGTGTAAACATACATATGCATTTAGTAAAAAGCGGTTATTTTAATATTACAAACAGACACTCCAATTTTATTTATTTGTATAGATTTAGTATAGAGATGGTTTGAGTACGGGAAAGGACATAGGCAGTTTTTATCCCAGAAAACATCCTTTAGGGGGGTGAAAAGTGGGATAGAAGTTTGTATGGGCAGCATTAACCGCTAAACCGATTTATATAAAATTTGGTTTAGACATAGTTTGATTCTTGAGGAAGGATATAGGGTACTATTTACAGAGATGACCAACATACACGTGGACGGAATCCCTCCAAAAGCGTATTTATATTAGCTGTTTAGTAACAATAGTACAAGCTCTGCTTAAGACTAAGTAAATATCGTTAAATGACTGATAGAATATCATTATATATAATATTATTGTGAAACAAAAGAAATAACCGTGTATCGTATCGATTTTCAGTACCATGACAACGGGAGATTATCCTGCTCAAGGCGCATGTGCAGACAGGGGTGCCATTTTTAGCGTCCGGTCAATACTCGTTCAGATCTCAGACGGAGCGCTACCTTGTTTGCAGTTAACATCAGTTTTTAACATTTACAGCTAATTCATTGTGAACGTTCTGTGTTTTGTGGAGAATACACCGTCTAAAGGTAAGTAGTTATGTAAGTTAGGATATTTTGGCTCGCGATATTAAGAAAGTTAGGTACTTATGTTGTTCCTATTCACCATTGCGCTGTGCGCTGTGCGCTGTGCGCATTAAATTAATTTCCCAATAAGCTTGCTATTATTGCCGCTGTCGCGTTATAAAGAGAATAACTTAAAGCACCGTGAATTTTACAAGATTCAACAATGTGAAGTTAATCCTACTAATATTATAAATGCGAAAGTAATTCTGTCTGTCTGTTACGCTTTCACGGCTAAACCACTGAATCGATTTTAATTAATTTTAGAAGCACATGGGCTACTTAAAACACATAACTTGAAACAAACCCTATACCAACTCGTCTGGTATAGTAGGCCAGAACTTTTTTTCTAATAAGAGGCCTATGTCCAGCAGTGGACTGTTAAAGGCTGATGATGATGATGATGGACTAATTTTCACCGCGATAGCCGAAGGCAAAAGCTACTTGCAAATAAAACTTACTATCAAAGCAGACACTTCTTATTTTTTCATTAACTTAAAACTTATCAACAACAAATATAAGGAAATAATATCTAATAATTTCTTTTTCGATGTAGATGTCCGCCGAAAAAAATACATCAGAATTACCTGCGAATAAGCCTTCGGCTGAGGTCACAGACAACGGAGAAGTGGCTAACCCTCAAGAGGCTACCCCTCAAGAAGCTACCCCTCAAGAGAATACCCCTCAAGAGAATACCCTTCAAGAAACTACCCCAAAAGAGGCTACCCCAAAAGAGGCTACCTCTCAAGAGGCAACCCCAAGGAAGGCTACCTCTCAAGAAGCTACTAAGCAGAAGGCTGCCTCTCAAGAGCCTTCTTCAAAGAAGGCTACCTCTCAAGAGGCTACTCCAGAGAAGGCAACCTCTCAAGAGGCTACCCCCAAGAAGGCTACCTCTCAAGAGGCTACATCAAAAAAGCCTACCTCTCAAGAGGCTACATCCAAGAAGTCCACCTCTCAAGAGGCTACATCCAAGAAGCCTACCTCTCAAGAGGCTAAATCAAAGAAGCCTACCTCTCAACAGGCTACATCAAAGAAGCCTACCTCTCAACAGGCTACATCAAAGAAGCCTACCTCTCAAGAGGCAACATCGAAGACGGCTACCTCTCAAGAGGTTACCTCTGAAGAGAATGAACGAGCCGCTCTGCAGGAGGCCGTGCGCCTTCTGTACGATGAACCCTACACGGCTCCCTCATCACCTGAGCAACCCCAACAGGAGCAATCAATGGTGAGGCTAATATTTATATCATAAATAATAATTCAAATGAGTATGATACATTTCTTCTTTTTTAATCTTTCTCAAATTGAATGCTTGAGGGTGGTTAGATTGTTTAATTTGTTTATTTGTTACACATAAAGCATTCACAAAGAATAATAAGTTATTGATCTGGTGTATTCTTAATACAGAAGATCACAGCCTGCATTAAAAGTCAAACATAACATTAGGAATCAGTAATTATAACTACACAAATTATAAATAAATAAATCAAATCATTGTTAAATTCATTACGTTAATTTAAATACTAATAACATTGCAAAAGTTGAATATTGATGATATAGTTAATAACTAGCTGACCCGCAAACGTTCTTCGTTCTTCATTCGTGTGGAATTTGAAATGCGCTGCCTTAGTGGGTTCGATTACCGGACCGGGCAAAATTTTATAGAGGTTTTCTGAGGGGAAAAATAGCATAAGTTACTCCTTATATACTGTCTATACTACTTGGTAGTAAAATATTATCAAAATTAACAAACAGACAGACAAAAAATATTTTGATCTCGTACGGTTATTTGCACGATACTTATGCCTAAAAATAGGCATAGGTATAGTGCAAATAACCGTTTGAGTATGAAAAAACCTATTATTTTGAGATTACAAACAGACACTTCAATTTTATTTATTTGTATAGATTTAAATTAATTAAATAAAATTCAATTTCTTAACACCAGTTTTGTGTGCAGCTGTGGTATCACTCCGAATGAGCTGGTCCTTATCTGCCGAGGCATGGGTCTCCCACGATACACCGTTTGTATTCATCAAAGTACCATTTCGGAAGGACAGAAAAAAAAACTGTTTTAAGGTCGTCTCTCTTGTGACATAGCGCCTTAATATAACCGCTAATACCAACTTAGAAAAGTTTTATATCACATCACATCACATCAACAGCCTTTAACAGTCCACTGCTGGACATAGGCATCTCCTTAGAAATGAGATTTTGGCCTACTATACCACGCTGGCCAGGCGGGTTGGTATAGGGTTTGTGTCAAGTTTTCCTTCTGCCGCAGTGCTGTTGTTCTGCGTAGTTTGCTCCCTTAGTCGGCTCTTACGGCACCCACGGGATGAATAGGGGTGGTGACAATTTGTATTCTTAATCCGTCACCACACGGACAAAAGTTGTAAATTACTCGTGATAATTACTACTCCTGACAGTGGAATGTCTGTTCGCAGAGATACTCAACGCGCCGCCTCGAACTTACTCAAGAGGGAATCGTTCTTATAGATAGCGATGAAGGTAGGTTTAACAGAATTTTTTGCATCTTATGAATAGCCTAATTACTTACTATTGTGTTTTTGTGTCGTATTTTATAGTCATCAAATTATTGTTAATTGGTTTTTCGATTGCACGGATGCTATGCTACACTAGCGGGTTAAGCCATCACCTCACCGCTTTATACTGCGCTGAGTGTTGTGGGTGCAATACCCACATGATCAACGCTTTGTGTAATCCACAAATTGTTGTTCTGAGTCTGTTCTTTGTGTCCATTACATGTATATCTGTAAAATCCCCCGCGACACAGCATTTATTCCTAATGATGCCTTAAATCAGATAAAAAAGGATAATTATTTTACTTTTTAAAAATAATTTATTTCTTTAAAACCGGCTTCAAAAAGGAGGAGATTCTCAATTCTTCGTATTTTTTTATTTATGTTTAACAGAATCCCCGCAGAGATCGAACCTCGTCGTTAGCGAGGATACATCGTCCCCACAGCACAAGATTGCCAGACTGGACGATCCTAATAACTAAACGTCTACATATCGTCGACATATTATATGTAAGTATTATAAATAGCAAACACGCCGACACACGCAGACACATTGACACACACGCTCATAAATAAATAAATAAATATACACACAAATACAGACTGTATAAAAACACAACAAGCACACACAAACTATAGCGACAAATACTTTTTACAAGCAATAATCTCTATACCTGTTTTTTTTTCTCAAAACGCAGCCTGATTCTGAAGCTGTCTCTAGAATGGCATTTTTTTTTTATATACACAATGACATATTACATTCAGCAGGTTAAAAAATAATTAAAAGGGCGCGCATATATGTAAACAGATATTGAGAACTCGAGATTTACAAACAGATTTTTTACGTGGGAGAGCCATGCTTCGGCAAAGATGGGCCGGCTCGACCGGTGGGACACCAAGGCCTCACAGAAAACTGGTCGTTAAGCAATTTCTCTGTTACATTTCACCGAGTGAGTGAGGTTTCCGGAGGTCCGGTTAACCCAACCCCCCCTATATCCTCCCCTCGTTCATGGGTGGCGATGGTCACTTTCCATCATGTGACCCGTCTACTCGTCTGCCACTTTAACATCAAAAAAAAAAATTTGACACAAAAATTACTACAAAGGTGTACTATAAAGTTAAGGTAAGGATTTTATAATCTTTCTTTATTACAACACATAAAATAATAGTAATAAAGCCGTTTTTTCCATAGCCCTTAACTTTAAATTTCAAATATTGTTAATATTTTTATAAAGGTGTCTCAGTAAGAGGGCACTTTTTAAACTAAGAATCTTTTTTTTTTCGTTCAAGTGGCAACTCTGAAATTTGACAGCTGTCATCTATGTTTATTCCGATTATTGAAAAATGAAGCGAACTTTCTGACACTTTGGTATTTGAGACGAAAAAATGACAAGCCGATGGCCGAGTTTGATTCGACTATTGTCCTCTTTTTCAAACTTGGGCATACCTAGCTGGATAGTCTGTCCTAGGTATACGTAATTGTTAACAACTTCGAGTGTAGAGTCTCCAATTTGCATTGGAGTGGGTGCAACATCGACGTACACTATAATTCTCGGCTTATCCATGTTCATTTTAAGACCCAACCCAATATCTAGTGTTAGTTTTTAAAAGTAATTACATTAACTCTAATTAATCTAAGGTATGGACCCCTTTTTGGGTATAAGCCTTTTTTTACGTGTAGAATCGCTTTGGGCCCACTGAGGTTTATGATGGGGCTGTGTGGACATACGGACCCCTCCTAGCTTTGGGTATAGGCCTTCCCCAACATTTCCTGCCTTTCTTTCTCCTTGAAATGGTTGATCCAGTCTATTCTCTATTGTCCTTCTTCTATCTGTGCAGATGTGTGTACTGATAGTGTATGTGTCAGTTTTCTGTCTTACCTCTCCCGGCTGCACGGATGGCGTATTGGATTAAGCAGTTTTCTCGCCGCTTCCTACTTCGTTGAGTGTTGTGGGTTCGATCCCCACACGGGACAACACTTTTAGTGATCTACAAATTGTTGTTCTGAGTCTGAATGTTTTTGATGTCCGTTTTATAAGTGTCTGTGAAGTCTCCCGCGAAGCAGGATATATGCTTAGTGCGGGAGGTGTATTCTATAACAAAAAAATCCTCCGAAATTGGAAGGCTCACATTCACCAAATACTCGATTCCAAATACTCAATGACAGCACAACCTAAATGTAACGTATTCGTAAAATTCAAAATGTATTGTCAGTAACGAGTAGTTACTGAGTCAAGTTAAGAAATTAATGGTGGCAGTCCGTAATAAAGCGTTGTGACAAACGAGAATACTATTTAAAATTTTCAAAGATGTTGAGGGCAGATAGCGTGAGGTTCAGGCTTTATATTAACAGTCTGTACAAAACAATAAAATATAGTTTTTGAAAGTTCGAATGATTTGTTCCAGAAACAACCGCAGCCGGCTGTCAGCACTACCGCAGTCGGTTTCTTATACTCTTATTTATTGATGTTTGGTACCGAGAAGGTGAAGTTAGCAGATAAGTGTATGTCTCTGTGTATCTCTATACCTACATTATCCTACGTATACCTACTTATATATAATATATTCTACTTTACATTAAGTCTGTTTTAAATAGACTTAGTTATTCAATATCTTGAGTGATTTTAAAACTTGCACGAATTAATTTAAAAAAAAATATCACTTCAATTTATACAAACGTGATATCTATTATCTTTGTGATTTAAAATATTTCTGAAATTAGCCATTACCTAATTAGACTCCAAGTCTTTCTCTTTTTTTACGAAAAAAAGGCCTAAGAGTATATTTATTTAAGACGAATTTATTCGTGTAATGTTTGTCGTAGTGATTATATTTTAAAAATGGTAATGTTTTATTTTATCAACATTATTAATAAGACATATGGAAGGTCCTGCCCTTAGATACGAGAGGTAAATGCACCATCTAATAACATTGCTCTTATGTTGGCAACCCTCATTACTTTTAAAATTTTATAGTAAAATAGAAATATCTTTACAATCACCAATTTATGCGGACCACAATAAATTATTCGGTTACCATTTGGTTACCAAACTAGTATTGATACTTACCTACTTACTATTTATGTATACTTCATAACAAATTACTTATTTAATTCCTAAACTTAAAAATATAACCTTTTTGGTAGATTTTATCAATTTGTAGGACATTATTTTTGCTACAAATGTTTCCACTTTATATCTTTTCTATCTTATACCTTTTCTAAAAATAAAAATATCAATATGGTGACAAGGTAACATATAACATTATATTTTTATTAAACACATATTTATTTATTTTTAACGATTATGGATAAAGGGTATTGGGTAAAAAAATATATACATGTACGTTTTAGAGGGTTCCGTCCACTAGGATCCCCTGCTTTATACTCCTGGGGAATTAGTTTTTATAAATCCTAACAAGTAAATTTAACGTTTGCCCAACTGTGACATTTAACAGTGGGCTAACAAAATATTTACTCTATGTGTTGACTTAGAGAGATAAAGTGCTGAATCGTAAGAGTTGAATTAAAAGCATTCAAGGAATTTTGAAAGAGATCGTGTACTTATGTCTAAGCGAGATGTCAATTTTATGGATCCAAACAAACAAAGACTTAAATTCTTTTATAAAATCGCGTTTTAACAAATAATTTAGGGATTTTTTATAGAAATTATATTTTTTTAAGCAAATAAAAGGACTAGTGTACCTGAAA